CCTGGTCTTGCAGTAACCCTGCCCTGCCCATTTTCATCATCCTCAAGTACAAGAATTTTTATTTCAGTGAAACAATGACTCAAATAAAAAGGAAAGATACTTTCACTTGAGTCATTGAGCAAGTCACAGTCTAACACAGAATGAGCTTGACTTAATAATTTTAAAATATTTGGATAAGAACATGTGTTTTGTACAATCAACCTCCACATCTCTGCTACAAAAGAAAATATAAACTTTATTTAAAGACCCTATTTTTTATGAAAAATTCAGCTGAAACTGGAAGGAGTGGAAATATTATAATGAACTCCATAGGTGGGGTTAACTGTAACACTCTCTCAAAGTCTGGTAAATTAATACACAAACTATTCATTCATTATCATTTGTGTTGTTTGAACCACACAAGCCTTTCTACCTAAATACATGAAAATGTGTGTATCACAATGAGTGACAAGTGAAAACAATGTATCATCATGGCAAATTGAGTTTCAGAAAGAAAGCAAATATTAGCTGATAAAACTAACAGAGTTTTTTTTTATTTACATGACATCTATAGCACTTCTTTGATGAATGTGTGCAAAACAATAACTCTTTTGAATGTATATGGGAGGATATGGAATTCTGTCTTAGTTTAGTTTCAGAGGCTTAGTTGTAACACTGTGTTAAAACTAACCCCACCATGCGGAGGCTGTACTTTAGCCTGGCTAGCTCTCACTGTGAGTTGTTCACATGCTTAAAATTGTGCTATTTTCAAACACCAAGAGGATAATTAAAATAATATACAAGTGAGTTCTGTGACTTATACATTCAATTCAGTAATCAAAAAGTAAGTAGGTAGGTTAGTACAAAGGTAGTAAGTAAGTTAGTACAAAAGCATTCTTTGGGATGAATCCTGAGAAAAATCTGTCCGATTCCAGTCAAAATTTCAGATAAGGTTGCTATGGCAATACAAGAACATGATTGAATGCACATTCAACTTGAGCTTGTTCAACTACGTTAAATATCCAGGTTATATTTTACAGTTTGTGACTCGCTCTCCCCTACCATGTCAAAAAAGCACTTAATTACTGAGTCTCCAGGATCAGAGTTAAGTCCCACTGCTTTAGGGAACCAAAACTGGTTCTTGTATGGCACTGTTCCCATGAATATGTATTGGCTCCTTTATTTTTAAGAGTGTGGTAGACGTCAACACAGAGCATGCAGGGTTTGTAGAAGTGGCAGCTGGTCCTGGATCAAAGTTAAAAGGAGATATGTGCTGGAAGCAGCACGTGGAGAAGCTGGGCCAGCAGGTGATGGCCTGCTCCGCCTGGCCGCATTAAAGCCCTCTTTGTGAAGCCCCAGCCACACACCACATAGCCTTCCTCACCTTGAAACGTGACACTGCAGGTAGAGAGAGGGTCTGCCACACTGCTGGAGCACACAGAGACCTCAGGCTGTGTTTTATGTGTTTGTTTTTGTATATTTTCAGGACAAAAGTGGTCTGATGTCACAGAGAAAAACAGCATTAGGACCAACAAAATTGTAATGAGTTTGTAAAGCACATTTTACAAAGTACTGCACATGTCTTTTTGGTTATACTGAGATTAAGGTTAGGGTTGGACCTAGAAAATTCTTTTATTGCATATTTATTACATATAGATAGGGCACAGGTATGAACCCACGTCTTGATATTATATAATAATAAACCTGCATGTGTGGTGGGGGCCTTCCCTGCCATGCACATACCTGAGAGTATGGCTCTGATCAAATGCTCCTTGTATGGGGTGACAGCAATGGCTGAGCCGCCTGCTGGAGTTTAGCGAGGCTGGCCACAGTCCAGCTCAACTGAGACAAACACACACACATGCGTGCACCCCACACAGCTGCATGTATGAGTAATGTAAAAGGCAAAAAGGACTTTCGGACAGATCTGTGATTGGTGAAGAGATTGTAGGGAGGTTTTTATGTAAAAAGCTAAATCAGAACGCCTCTTCAAATCTCACGCTGCTGATTACACTGTCAGCAGATGGAGTGACTAACGCAAAAGGAAAATGGAAAGATAACAGTGATCAGAAAACCCCTTTTCATTTTGTAGATTGGAAAAACCCCAGAGTTTAATGACACCACAGGTGTCACTCTTATGTCTCATGTTGAGCCTAATGATTAAGGATAATTGATCATTTTGAAGCACATTCAATAGCTGTTACGTAATTTCATGGAATTTATATAAGGATACAAGAATTTAAAATATTTTACAGTCTAAAATAAAATAAAGGAAAAAATTCAAAATTCTATAATATATGTAACATTCAAGATTTTCTGTTTTTCAAAATACAGGGAACCTGGGGTAAAATTACAAAGAATAATGGCTTAATCTCAAACAACAGCAAATAATAAGCTGTAAATCTGAAAAGAAACTTAGTTACATGTTAACGTATGTGAGTTACATGTTAACGTATGTTAGTTACATAACAGTTTTTCATTTGAGAAATTTCATTCATTGTACACATTGTGTAGGAAATTGTCATATCAACCCCCCCTTTTCTTTGCACTTTGAAAATGCCAACTGTCCTCTACAGTACTGTCCAAAAGTCAAAGACCACCCTTAATTTATTTAATTTCCTGTCTAACTGGCCCGTCAAAGCAACCATTAAATATAAATTATTTATTTATTAATTATTCAGAAGATATTTCTAAAATAACCCATTTGTTTAAGGAAGGGAGAAGCTCCACTCTTGCTTCAGATCGGGAAAAATCCACAGGTGTTTCTGACCACCCTTCCACTGTGAGAAGGCAGCTCTATGACTCTCAAAGGACGCTATGAGTTTCAAAGGATGTGTTGCTATAACTGAGAAACGGAAATAGACAAAAAAGAAGAAAATTTGTAAAATCAAACAAAAAAGCTGCTGGTATTCTGAAACCAACGGGCTGACCATCCCAGAATCCAGACCTCAACATCACTGCATGTGCCTGGGATTATTTGGATCTTGGAGAAGTAGAAAATACAACCAACTTCTAAGACTGTAAATGTAAGGATTTTCACTATGACAGCATTTGGAGAAGTATAATTTTCTTTTTACAAGTTTTGCTACTAGAGTTTTTTACTTTATTTTTGCTGGATTTTTACAGTTTGCCCAGAATGTGCTTTTACATACCAGGACAAGGTCACATCCAGCATCACAGATGGACTGAATCAGGCGTGTGCCTGCAGGCATGAGGGAAAGCCTGCCTGTGTGGCTCCAGTGGCCTCTGGCCTGGCTCCTAATGAGAGAAAGTGCAGTATATACTGTGGCTTTATAGGGACTGGCCAGGGCCACGGCAGGCACTAACCACAACATGACTTCCACTGCCAGACAGCCAATTAGTTTGTGTGTTGGGGCTACATGGGTGCATTGAGACTGGCTGGCTGCAGCACTGAAAGCAGTTTCGCTCTTATATTAGCTTCATGCCACCCAGGCTGCCTCAGGGTGCGAGTGAGAGCACAGTGGTGCAGGCTTTACTCGAGGGAAATCTCAACACAAAGCTCATTTTCACAACTCACCTCAGAGGTTAAGACCCGCCTGTCTTTCAGCTTCTTTATCTGTCTCTGTCTCTCTTAATCTGTCTCTCTCGCTCTCATGATCTCTCTTTCTTTCTCATTTTCTCTTCACCACTTTCACACAGATGTACACAGAGCCTTAAACCCACAAACATTCTAAAAAACAGCCTCTGTTTGCCTTTACAGTGCAGACATTTACAGCTGCCCAGTGGAGGCTCACTGGCAGACAGCCAGACCCCCTTCATACCCCCCCCTTCACACACACACACACACACACACACACACACACATACAAGCTACACTCAAAAGAAAATACTGTTTCATTCAGTCTAATAGCCTATAGTCTAAATTGAGCATATGGATGCTTTATTACCTCCACATCAAAAGCAATTGCAATCCATTTAGCCATATTTTCAACTTGAACGTCAAATCCATTTTTATTAGTCGTACACTTAATATACACTATTTACTTCCCTCATTCCACCATGCACACTCACAGTAGGACCTGTTAGATTCACTATCAGCTGATGTTCCACAGTGACACACCTCAAAAGCCCCAACTCAGGACTAAGAGCAGAATGAGGCTGAAAGAGCAGAAGTAGAATGACAGCGCAGTTGATCAATTTCCTTTGTGTGCTCCTAAGTCCTGGCTTGCATGCTGCCAAAGCCTTCAACAATGCCTAAGCGCTGAAAGGAAGTGGCGCTCAGAGCCAGTGTAGAAGCACAGGAGACAGCAGGGCTTTTCACAGGATAATGTGAAGGCGGAATAAAATGATAAGTGGTACAAATGATGACACTAAATGATTAACCCACAGCTCTGAGGCACGTCCACTCGTCCAGACGGCATCTCTCTCTGTCTGTTTGTCTTTCCCAATCACTCTTGTCTCATTCTCTCTCTCTCTCTATGTTTATCTCTCTCTGTCTGACTCCCTCTCCCTCTGTCTGTGTCTGTCTTTCCCCATCTCTCTCGCTGGTCTGTTTCTCTCCATCTCTCTCTCTGTTTGCTTTGCTTTCCTTATTTCTCAGTCTTTCTCTTTTTTTCTCTGTTTATTTTTCCTATCTCTCTCCGTTTCAATCTATCTCCTTCTGCTTCTGTCTGTTTATCTCTCTCACACACACTCTTTCCCACCTTCTCTGTCTGTTTCTTTCTCACCTCTTTTTCTCTCTCTGTCTCTGTCTTTCCCTCTCTTTCTTTCTCTCTCTCTCTCTCTCTCTCTCTGTCTCTCTCTCTCTCTCTGGTTAGTGAGCCGGCAGCCGTCTCCTTTGTCTGTTCTGTCTGCCAGACTAAACGCATGCTGCCTTGCCGGCATCCATATATTCCACACTCACAGCCACTCGCACAGACACTCACTCAGACATATACAATCCCTCAACAATGCATGTCATGACCTACTGCTATACTGAAAAAACAGCCAAAAACAAGCAAAAAAGCAGAAATATTCAGTTCTTGATGTTTTCTCCCTCTCCATCGTAGGATTCCACTCACCTTGAGTGGAGCCCGCCCAAGAGGAGGCCAGTAATCCAAAGGTGAGTCCAAGGCAGAGCACAATCCACATGCTGGCTGACACAGCGGCAGAGAGAGGGAGACGAAAGTGTGCTGGAGGGGCTTTCCTCTATTCCTCTGGCTCTTCTCTGACAGCTGAGGGTGCTGAGATTTGGACTGAATGAGTGGCTGAGTGAGTGAGTGAGTGAGTGAGTGAGTGAGTCAGTGTGTGTGTGTGAGTATGAGAGAGAGAGAGAGAGAGGTAGACCAAGTCCAGTACCCTTGGAGGGAGGGGGGGTGGACGAGCTGAAGTTAGCGGTCGACAGCTGGTCGCCTGTTGGAGCTGAGAGACTTTGCTATAACTTTTGAATGGTGTGTGTATGTGAAAGAGAGCGAGAGCGAGAGAGAGAGAGAGAGAGAGAGAGAGAAATGGTGTCACTATCACCGGCACTGAGGAAGAGGGTGGTGCATACATGAACACACCCTTCTGCCCCTCCCTCTCTCTCTACCCCCTCTCTCCCTCCTCTCCTCATGCTCTCTCTCTCTCTCTCCCTCTGGTTTTGCTGCTTCAGTTAAGCTCTCTCGCTCTTGTCTGTCAATACCTCTCTCTCTCTGGTTTTATTGCCTAGGTTAAGGTGTACCTCTGTCTCTTCGACCACTCCACTCTCTCTTCTTCTGTCTCTCTGTCTCCCTCTGTGCTTTTATTGCCTCAGTTAAGGTCTCTCACTCCTGTCTGTGTCAATGCCTCCCTCCCTCCTCAGACGCTCCACTCTTTGTCTACGTTTCCCTCTTCGGCATGCCGAGGTACTCAGCATCCACTGAGTGCACATCTGCTCCTTTGTAATTGCCTCCTCCCGAATCTACTCTCAATTCACTACCTTTTCTTTCAGCCAGACACCTCGACCCTCCTCCCCTCATCTCTGAGCTTAAGGATGGAATCGAACTTTCACTTGAATTGCCCATTACTGCCTTTCATAACATGTTTGCATGCTGCAGCTGTACCCTGTTCTAGATAGATGTATTCGTTGTACAGAAAATAATAAAAAAATTATAAAAAATAAAAGTGTTGTAACTGTATTGAAATGATAACTGAAGTAAACATAAAATTAGCTTAGGAAAGAACAAATTCAGTAGAAGTACAAAAGCACGTCAGAAAATTTCCCAAGTACTGAGTTCCTTGTAGAACTGCTATCACCAAGTTCCACTGTAGTGTTACTAGAGTGAAACTTCGTGATACATCCAGCATTACGAAGATCAGAAATCCAGTAATATCAGTACAGGAACTGAAGCTGGTTAGTGGCTGCTCTTCTCTTTTTGGGATCCTTCTGGGCTGAACTCAATAATGAGAACCGTTCCCTATCTCAAAGCACTCCGGTTGCTGAGCCAAAAGAACAGAATGAGGCTGTTTACATCATGCATCAGCATATGCTGGTGGTGATCAGATTATGTGGACCACAAGGTGGTCAGAGGTGGTCAGAGATGAATCTTGACCACATTAAGGATGAATATAGGTTACTCATGCAGGTAACCAGGCATAATACAGCCAATTGTACCTGATGATTCCTTATTTGTGTTGACATGCTAGTTAACAGTAGAGTGACCAGATGTCCCCATTTTTTGGGGACAGTCTCTGTTTTGGTGGCCTGTCCCTGGCTGGAACTGTCCCTGGAAATGTCCCTGTTTTTAAACGTGAATTAAAAACACATTGGAAAGTCCTAAGAAAGCCCTGGCAGCAGAGTAGAAGGGCAGACATCTTGTGTTGTGCTTGTTTTGGCCAACAGAGGGGTCCGGCTGCTGCTATCTAATAACCACGTCTACCACTTTCTCACCTAGTTTTAAAGAATACTACTGTGTAAAACTTCACTAGAACTTAGCAAGTGTCAAGTGAGTCCACAAACATTTTTTTCAAGACACAAGGTAACCTAGTGATTAAAAGCAGGGGAGGATTATGGGACTTGAATCATACTAACATTACCAGGTGATGGGTAACATAATCTGGTTTATAGAGGCATACAATCTACTTGAACGTAGGCTACAATGTACAAATAGTGCATAATTTTTAAAAACTGCATCACTTTTTCAGCCATCCATATGTGACATATGGCATATGCTGATAGCAGTTGTCTCTGTCTCTCCAGAACTGGAGCTAGCCCAGTGGTGTGTTTAGGGTCTGGTTATTGGGCCATGGCCATGGGTCTTTCTTCTGTAACCATGGGTCTCTTTTTACAGCCAAAATGTTTAATATGAATATAACTTATGGGCTCATACAACCACTAAATCTTCTGTGATAAACATATCCCTGCCTCATCCCTTCCTAAGTCGCTAGACTCAGTGACTTTTGAGACCCTTTTTACTTACAGACTTTAATTCTAAAAAGCAATGACTGACAAATCTTGCGAGGAGGAAAGCATGAGATAGACATCTTTTTGTAGGACTGTTGTAATTTATTTCAATGCTTGCTGACCATTTTCTTTATTGAGTGTTCCATAGTTTACCATAGCTTTGCTCACCAGGCTACTGTATAATTTTCTGACATGATTTACAAAGTTACTTTGTTAGTACCCAATTTTATGAGTTGGCCTTCATCATAGTTTATTACAGTACAACAGTTACAATGGCTGAAATAAAGAAGCTGGAATTGTCCCCCTTTTTTATTTTTATTGATAAAAGCGTTTGATATTTTAATGATATATTGACTGCTGAATTGGAAATGTTCCTGGTTTTCATTTCAGAAATCTAGTCATCTTAATTAACTTTCTTGGGTTGGTTGTAGTAAGCTATGAGTATGCAACACACAACAACTTTGATTTGTCTCATCTAGTAACTAATGTAGCAACTACAGAGCTTGTAGACTAAACTGAGTGGCTACTAGAACTAGGCAACAGCACACTCATTCAGCCATCAATGTTATGAGCAGTCCAAATAAAAAAATAATTATGGGGTTTGCATTTTACAAGAATCATCTGTTGAGTACTCTTGTAACCTCTCACATTCTTAGCATAGCTAAGTTATATTTCGGCCTATACTTTGTATTCTATATACCTGAACAACTCATAAAGTCAAAGTCAACCTGGGGAGTGTAGCATATAGCACAGAGTTAAACAGAGTGAGCAGTAAATTCTATGCTCTGAGGTCAGCTGAGAACCAGTCACTGCTGATTTGGTCTTGTTGCTTTTCCACATTGAATCTCATAAAATGTTCTCGAAACTATCAAGGACTCTGGTGTCCTCATGGTAGTTATAGACATGATGAGCGCTCATTACAAACTGAAGGCTTGAGGCAATAATATAGCAGTGATAGCAGTGGTTGCTAAGCAGTGATTGGAGGGCTGAGGAAATAAGGCGGACCTTGGCAGAGACTGCAATGACTTTATTGGCCATAATACAGTGACAGCACTCAGAAAACAAACCAAAATTCGTTATCTTAAAAAATTCAGCTTATTAACTATTCCATCCCCTTTTGATTGGGTAAGCCTGTGATCAATCTGGGTAGGGCCAGTTGTACCCAGGATTATGCCCCTGAGTCACCTACTGTATTACCATAATAGTGCTATTTTCACATTAAATGTTATTAATGGAAATATGTGAACAAACCTTGATCTGCTTTTCACATTGTATGATGAATGGACAAGCAAAAACACTACAAAAAATGTGAATAAGAATAAAATATCTTCATATTAACTTGCATTCAAAGGTAACAAGGTTTTTGCCTTCTCCTGTAAAGCTACTAATTTGGAGATACTTGTTTTGATTTGGACAGTGACAATATGTTAATGCAAAGATGTAAACTAGCTCAATGACATCAAATACAAAAAGAGACTTAGTTGGAGTAACTTAGTTGGAACATATTAAAAAGTAGATTACTAGGCAAGTTGTTGCTGATAGGACAAAACCTTGCATCTCCATTTTCTTTGATGTGCTTACATCATTTCAAAGATTTGATCTGACTTCCATTGAAAGTTAAGAATGTTTTTATCTTCGATTGTAAAGTTACCACTTTAGAGATACAAGGTTTTGTCCTGACAGCGATGAAATATAATTAGTCAAAGATATTATCATCTGAAAATAAAGTACAAGTCCATCAAAATTGTACTAAAGTATATGTAACTGGATAAACACAACTAGTTAGTACCCACCTCTGATCACTGATATATGGAGTATAAAGAACATTACATACAGAGCATTACTGCATTACTTAAACTGGATACAAATGGGTAATATAAAGCACCTATGTCAGTTAATTCATAGGAACAGAAGGACAGAGGTGTTTTAACATCTCCAACAGCCCACACTTTCAAACTGTTTTGGAGGCAAAGCAGCAACAGCTGAAAAAAGAAGGAAAAAAAGAAATAAGTGGGCAGTTGCACAATGATGGAAAAAACTTCAATTGCGCCAAATGTTATTACCCACTCACTGGCATGAGTAAAATAATTATAATCAGTGTTTGGGGGATAGAGGAACGCAACCTCCCCACCCTCTGCCTGCTTCTAATGAGCCTAATGTCTCACCATAGACAGTGTCTCTGGATGAGTAATACATTAAAGTTTGACTTGGCTTAGACACCACATACGAGAAAGAAAACTACCTCCTGTTTCATTACATTATAAGAAATTTATGGTTTGAAGACTACAAGTCGGTGTCCTAGATTTAATAATGCAAGTTTAATAAACTCTTTCTGAGTGGTCAAAGCACAATGTCACCTCTCTGTAGTTTATCTCTGTCATAAAGACAAATTACACCAATAAAAATGGCAGAAATCATCACCGTGAAGGCTTCATGTTCTTACCAGACACCTCATTTACCAGTAAACTTCAAGAACAAACATTCTCTCTCTCTCCCTCTCTGCCCCATCTCACAGAGTTGAAGTACAGAGAACTGAGCAAGATACAATCATTCTTTGTGATGTTGCAGAAAATCCATAGAAGTTGTTAAAAGATCATGTGATATAGTGTCGAAATTCATCCTCCATAAAAGTGTCTGCTTTGTATACTCACAGCACGACATATCAATTTTCCAATAAAGTACATCTATGACACACCAATGGCCACTAACTTGTAAATGGATAAAAAAGAGTTTTTGAATAGGAGCATAATCTATTGTCTTGCTCTGTTTCCTTCCTCTGTTTATATTAGGCATTGCCGCATTGACTCTGTGCTGTGTGAACCTAAATAGCACATGAAGATTGATGGCAGTCACATCCTGCACAGACTCGCCATTTGAGTCAATTAGGGAAACACTCTACATATAAACGCAGCAAAAGAACAGATTGGCAATGTTGTAGCAGCATAATGGATGAACTGCTGGAGATCTAGCAATTGATCAAGACCCTGAAGACAACATGCTCCCGTTACCGTGACATAACCACTAACGTGCTGCATGGAGTGTGCGGGCAGGGTTAGCTGAGTTTCCAGAGGGGCTGGGGAATGTGCACAGTGGTCAGTGCTAAT